ATAAAATAAAAATGGTTTGAGTAATTATTGAATAAGTGTGGAACAGGATATAGATAGAAGAGAACCACGTGAGATGATTTGACTATGCAGCCTGTCCGATCCACACACAACAAATATCTATTGTTTTGATGTTTTAATAAAGTGTAATAAAAATTTGTTTAAATATATTTATAATATCTAATTTTATTAAGATTTATTTTTAAAATTTTGATATATTTTAATTTTTAAATTTTAAAAATAGATAAATATAATTTTCTTAATTTAATGAAGTTAATTTTTTTATATTAAATAATATTTCAAACTGAAATTTAAATTTAAATATTAAGATAAAATATCTTTAAACATATAAAATAATATAACACAATTAAATTAAAAAATTATGTCTATTTATTTTTAAAATATAAAAGTAAAACTATATTAAAATTTAAAACAAAATCAAATTTCGTATGCATGTTAAAATTTAAAAATTAAAAATATATTTAATCTAGTATACCTTTATACATTTTGTTATTTTAAAGTAATTCTTTTATATCAACAATTCCTTACAAAACTCAATACTTTTTAATCGTATGAAAATTTAAAATTCGATGCAATTTCAATTAAAAAAAAACACATCAAAAGTGTAATTTCACTTAAATCAGTAATCAAAATGATTTTTTATATTTAAAATTGGCAACAACTTTGCATTTCTTAAGAATGTTGGGTATTCGATGTACACTGGAGAAAAGTGAATCAGAATAGGATAAATTTAATAATTTTTATTTCTCGTATATAACTTTATAAGTTTCTGCGGTCGTATTATCCTCTATTTTTAATTATTATTTTAAATTTTGTGAAAAATTCTTATAAAAAAAATTTATAAATAATTCCTTTGATTATTAGCAAACATATAAAAACATAGTTGCGTTAATTCATGGACCACACATCTTATCTGTGATTTTATGTCCACATTAAAATTAGGTTAGGATGATTTGGATCCTGGACCACTTTCATACAACATTCCAATTTTAAAGGCAGTTTTTCTTCACCTCTACAGCCACCTGCATCAACATTTTCATTCAAATCTTAACAAAACTTTATAAACCTATCATCCTTAAGTTTATTGAATTAGTTTTTTTTTTTAAATTAATAATGTAATTTAATTAAAGGATTAAATATGTTTTTTGTCTCTTAAATATCACACGATTTTGGTTTTAGTCCCTACTCAAAACTTTGATGGTTTTTAGTCCTCGTAGTTTTGAAACTCTTAGTATTTGTCCTTATAAATTGATGTCGTTATGTTTTAGTATATGTGGCAAATGTCGAGGCTAGTTTTGATTTCAGTTGTCGTGCCACGTTGATTGTTTCATTTTCCAAGTTGAACCTAACTTCGTTCTCTACGGCGACCCAGAAGCTTCTCGTTTCTGCCCCTCGCCCTCCACGCCCACCAGCAGCACCGTGGCCAAGAAAGGGGTCTGCACCTTTTGATCCAATCACCTCTGTAGTTTACTAAAATTCTGCACCTTTTGAACCCTCCGCCCCTCCTCCAAAAATAAAAAATCGCACCTTCCTAAAACCATGGTTTATAAATAACTTAGCAAATTAGCAGACAAAAACTGTTTCTCAAATGATACAGTATGTATGAAGTTTAGATTCTGATGCGATTAAAATAGAAAGTTCCAAACCCATTAACTCTATTAGAAAGAGGGGCGAAAAAACCCATGAATGAAATTCAGAAGAAGAAGAGAAAAGCTTGTTGAGAAAGTCAATGCTAAGTACATACATACCTTGTGGCCATTGAGGAAGGGGTGAAGGCAGAGAGAAGGGAAGTGGATCATGGTCAGTGAATTCAGGGATAGAGTCCCAGCATAGTAAACTCTTGCACCCAAACATCACTAAGAGAGACAAGTATTCTTCAGAGCCCCCTTCAACAAAAAGAGAATTCTTCTGGCCATGGTACTGTTGGAGGGCATGGGCGAGGGGCAGAAACAGGAAGCTTATGGGTCGTCGTAGAGGACGAAGTTAGGTTCAACTTGGAAAATGAAACAATCAACGTGACACGACAGCTGAAATCAAATCTAGCCTCACCGTTTGCCACATCTTTTAAGGACTAATACTAAAAGTTTCAAAACTACGAGGACTAAAAATCATCAAGTTTTGAGTAGGGACTAAAACCAAAATCGTGTGATACACGAAAAACATATTTAATCCTTAATTAAAATATTTGTTCGTGTATGTAAAAAATTAATTTCATAATGAATAATAACTATAAAAACAAAAATATATTACTTTTTAAGTTTTTGTCTTTTTCTATCACATGTTCTTTATTTTTTATACGCAATTTTGATTTTGAATTGCATATCATTAAATACTTAAAATGTTTTTTATATAATAAATGTTTATATAATAGTATAATTTTAATTTAAAAATATTTCATAATATCGAAAACACTTTCATTTACTTCTTGAATTAAACTACAAAATATTAATATCCCAATTAAATATTAATTGATGTTTATATTATTATTGCAACGATAGGCTACGATAATCTTTTTCAATTATATATTATTGTTAATAAATTCGAGTATATCCGTAAAAAAATGAATTTTTCTCTTCATCAAAACTTATTGTCATATGTACCTCTTATAATTTAACATACGAATATCTCAAATTACTAAAAACACCTCAATAACAAAGTCATAACTTATTAACATATTATGTCTTGCATGTATATAAAAATTTCATAACATCCTAGTCAACCATAATCTCTTAAACGTGACATGACATGTTAATTACTAATTCGAAAATTAATAACACTTTAGAACTTTAAAATTATTAATTAAATCTCAACATATATATTATATTTTTTAAATATTTATTATCTCAATTTCTAACCGACTTGAATGTTATGTTAAAAGAATACATTTTGGTCATATAAACAAGAAGAAAAAAACATCTCAATGATAAAGAAAGGAAAGATAAATACAGTTTAATATAGTATCTCAAGTTTTGTGAGTGACTAAATCAATTTCAAAAACTAAAATCAGTTTTAATTAATATATAATTTCTTTTCAATTATAACAACAGTGTCATGAATTTAAAATTTTATTTCGGTTAAAAATAATAACTCCATACTTCATCGCCATTTAATAAACTTAAATCATCGTCATACTTATCACACTTTTTATATTAATTTATGTAGCTAACAGTATAAGGGTATTCCTTATTATGACAGAAACCATTAAAGTAAAATTTACATCTTTGAATTGAACCTGTCATTTTATGGAAAAAAAAAAACTAGACCTATTAACAACTCATATTTTTGGATTGCTTATGAGTAAAATATAAATTATTTAATACTTAAATGTATCTTATTGCGTGTTGTATTTAAATACTTTTTATAGCATGTAAAAAACAGCACAACGTTTCGTCATTCTAAATGAAATTGAACTCAATTATTTTTAAATTAAATCTTACGTTTGAGTTTTGTAAGTAGAGTGAGAAGTGTTTGTTTTTTATCAGTAAAGTAAGTTCACTGTCTCCAAAAGAGACCCCTAACTCAAGTCTCTTACGTTAATAACAATAAATACGTAATTAATAAAAATATAATTAATATATTTTGTAAAATATACTACTTATTGTTTATGAGAATTTTTATTTGGACAAGTCTAGATTTAGTGGTCCAAATACTTCTTGATTTTTAAATTACTATAGTTAATCATACGTTATAAATTATTATAGTTAATAATGTATTATGGTGATTAAGTATTTTGTAAAATATTATTGTAACCAAATAAATATTAATCAAATATATATCAATTTAGTAGTCTGTACATTATTTGCAGTTTAATTTGACTTTTAACTTGTAAAATTATATATAGTATGATTTTATATAATATTTTTAACTCAAATCTTATACTTAATCGTGATTTAATCAAATCGTTATAAATTTTAATCAAAATCGTAAAATCGTTAGGACCGTTAACCAAAATCATAAAATCATTTTTTCTAAATTATTCCTTGAACCACTTGTTCAACTTTTAGGTGAATGGATAAGTTTAAACAAAATCTAAATATAATTTAAAGTTGATGCAATTAAAATTTCACCGTGTTATGTATGTTGTCAACTACAACGTTATCCAATTAAAAAATTAATAAAGTTCATATTTTTTTTCTAGCTGCAACACTTATTCATTTTCTTAATTAATGGGGTTTCAATTAAAACAAAATACAAACTCAATTAAAAATTGAAAGTGTTTTGTGTTTTACTCTTCATCTTTTTGGCTGAATGAGTTTTAATTAAAATAAAACTCAATTAGAATATATTATAACACACTTTCATTTAAAGTAAAATCTACCATCCGTGTTTCCATCTCAAGATTTAGGATTTTGTTAATCTTTCACAATTTTAATCATAATTTCAATTTTAATTACCTTGGACAAAATACAATAATAAAATATCAATAATTATTAAAATGAGTTAATATTTCGTAAGAAAAGTTAAATGTGTTATTAATATAAAATATGTTAATAGTTAGTATTATTGAAATTATCAAGTGTGAGCCTAAATATCAAAGTAAAAATAAAAAAAATTAAGTGTTATATAAAAACAACACCCGTAAATTTATTATTTAAAGGTTTTGATTTAGATGTAGATTAATATTTGATTTGTAAGTTAGGTCATATTTCATTGTTATTATTTTTGTAGTGATTTTTATTAAAAGAAATCCAATATTATCTGATTTTCTCTTAATCACTATCCATATATCATTCTTTTTCAAAAAAATCGATCATATATTTTATTTAAAAGAAAATTCAATTGTTCACTTTTAATATGATTTCTCTCCGTTTAATTTAAAGGGTTCAAATTCATCTCAAACGAACCATTATCAATTCCCAACTTTAATTTGTTACAAAAAAAAAAAAAAAAAAAAAAAAAAAAAAAAAAAACTTAAATGGTAAATAAGACAACCTTGGAATTATTACACCTTAGTTAATACTACCTTGTTCTTGGTACTTGTCAGATAAGATCGCACTCGAGTAGAGTTTCTCCTGTTGCTCTTCTTTATCTCTTACCTATTTAAATTCGAAAACCTTAACCGATGTTTTTGACTTGAGAAATTAGAAAGAGAAAGACAGAGAGAGGAAAGGAGTGAAGAACAATGGAAGAAAGTGTGAAATTGGACATGTGGGGATACCAGGTCGCAACTTCTTCGCAGGCCTGCGTTTCAGCCATCAACTCCTACTATCATCAGGTCACACATTTCATGACACCCCTTTTCTCTCTTTCTCTGTATGAATTATTTTTTTGGTTTTTGATTTTGAATTTTGTCTTTGTTGAAACTCTTTGATATCAAAACTCAAATGGGTTGCGTTTCCTTTGAATAAAGGTTCTCATCTATGGAAGAGAAAGGTCTGTGATTCTGGAAGCGGTGGCACATGACAAGCACTGTGTCTTGGCCAACATCTTGGCAGCACATTTCCTTTACTCGCATGATTATTCTCGTGCTCTCACTTGCCTGCACGCCGCTGAGTCCCATCTTGTACCTTTTCATTTGCTTCTTCTTTTTTCGTCTCTTTGAATCTTTCCACCAAAAAGAAAACCTCTTTGATGCGTTTATGTAATTCTGCTGTTACAGGATCAGGCCACCTTGTACGAGAAACTTGTTTTCGATACCATCAGTTATTTGCTATCCGAAGATAGAGACGAGGATGTAGCTCTTGAATTGCATTCCAATGTGAGTGACTCAATGGGTCCATTTGACTTATATGCAAGTCTCATCAGTTTGGGGACCAATTTGATGTAAAATGACAAAATTGGAAAACCTATCATCGAACTTTAGTGTAGTTATATATTTTTGGATGATTAAACTGATGTCTCTTTTGAGGAGGATCAAAATAAGCACAAGTATATACTCAATATTCAAGAATACGATTTCACTGTGTTCTTTGCTTTGCTGCTTCTTTATATGTTAAAATAGATCTCGGAGATTTTCATACTTTGTACATAAAGTTCGGTCTTTGTTAAGTTGAGATTGATATCTAAATTGCTGAAACTAAAGTTGTGTAGAAAATTATATTGATAAGTATAGGATGATGATCCTACCTGTACCTGAGGAGGTAGTGTGAGTCCACCTTATATTGGTTGCCAGTGTCTGTCTGAGACATCTGATGTGTTTCTCAAGATAATCTAACACTTGAGTTTGTTCTAGAGTTTTATAGGGAAAGGATGTAGGCGTAGAAGTAGATATGCCTCTGTAAGTCCTTACAAGTTGCAGATATAGTGGCGCCAACTGATGAATATTTTGGTATCAACTGCATGACTTGTATAGTAGAGAACAGGAAAGACTCCTGAACAAAAAAGTATATCCCAGAAGGCATTAAGTTAAGGGAATACAAATTAATTATTGGCTTTAAAAATTGATGTTTTAACAGGACACTTTGATCTTTTGTTATTCAGCTGTGTGGAAACTGAATTTTGAACAAGGCTAGATGACCTTTTGCTAATTGTTACTTAGAAATCTCTATCTGAAGGGCGGAGCTCACTTCTGACTTCCGAAATGTTTACCAATTGCATCTGTCTTCACAATGCTTTGGGATTCATCTGATTTGCTAACTCTCTTGATTAATGTTGCTTGTTTTTGTTTTGAAGCTTCTAAAGGAGTTCCCAAGAGATCTGATTTCTCTAAAGAGAGCACAAGTTTTATGCTTCTACATGGGTCTACCTGGTCTTTCTTTGTCTCTTATTCAACAGGTTCTGTCTAATTAGAAAACATTTCTGTTTCATTTCTCCTATAGTTGATTTGTGGAATTTGCATATAGAGGTATAATTTTATTAGTATAGTATTTTTGTATCATGCATACTGTTTAAAGAAGTTGCATAAAGTTAATATAATAGATAATGGATTCTTCTTTAACTTATATACTGGAGGAGTAAAAGGGTTTTACATCTTAAGCCCACTAAATTAGATTATAGAAAAGTTTAGTGTTACTCAGAACTGACTTTCATTATTTTTGCCTTTATTTTGGGTTGCCTGGAGAGGTTAAGATGGGATTTAGAAGCCTTTAACAGCCTAAATTTGGTTTCTTGTTAGCCATGGGAATATATAATAAACGTAGTTCTTAACCCAAAATTCTCTATTTATTTGACATCTCTTAAGGGAAAAAATAGTCTTGTTAGCTTTTAATTATTATTGTAACGTAATTTTATTATGTAAATATCAAATACTACCAAACATCAGAATATGGAACATCGTATAATTTGATTAATTAGAGTCCATCTTTATCCTACCCTGTTGTGTAATGTTATTTGCCATCCAAACAAGATGTAACTGTATATTATTTTTCAGTTAAAGGACATAGTTTGCTGCTTCTTTTTTATTATTATCGATGAAAGTTGATACCATATCCTTTTAAGTTTTACAGGTTCTACCTCAAAATGAAGGACAAAACTACATATATGGCATGCTTGCGTTCCCTTTACTCGAGCTTGGGCTTATGGAGGAGGCTGAGAAAGCTGCGAGTAGGGGATTTGAGATCAATAAGGAAGACATCTGGTCACAGCATGCTGTAGGTCAATGTAATTATTAAATATGGGAATATTCACTCTACCTTGAGTAGATGTACTTATTATTATCTTTCAAGTTTTTTACTTAACAATAAAGATTTTGAATAAACCTTAACTTATTCTCTTTACTTACATGACAAAACAAGCTTAAGCTTTCTCCTCTGCTATGTAATAGTGTAAGCAAAAAGAAAAGTGGAGGTTTAGAGAAAAAGGATCAATTAATCATTGATTAGGGAATTATCTCAAGCTTTAGTTTAGGCATAATGAAGTCACAATTTATGAACATATGATATTGTCAATTGAGAAATAAGTTGTAACAAGAAATTTCCATAAATTATATTTTTGTCCTATATTAGTGTAATAATTGAATTTTGTTATGTAGTTATGCCATGTGCTTCAGTACAAGTGTTGTTTTAGAGAAGCTGTTAAGTTCATGGAAGAATGTTCATCATCGTGGTGTTCTGCTTCATCTTTCATGTAAGAACTTTATTCATTCAATCATGGTTTTGTCTAATTTTCTATTAATCGGCTAAAGAAATTTTGTTCTTTCAGGTTGACACACAATTGGTGGCATGCGGCCGTTTGTTACTTAGAGGGTAATGCTCCTACACAAAGAGTATTAGAGATATATGACAATTATATATGGAAGGAGCTAAACAAAGATGATTCTATGAAGGCAGAGGTATGTGATTTCATAAGCTTTTGTCTTTACCAGTAGTTTCTTGCTTTCTTCCTTTTCTCATAAGTTCTAATATCTCGTAATACAGGTTTACTTAAATGCTGCTGGTCTGCTTCTGCGGTTGTATGTACGAGGAGAATGGGATATCTATGGTGATCGTCTCAAGTTGCTGGCTGAATGTCTAACTAATGAAGTAAGTTAAGATACACTCTACATGTTATATCCAATCAAGGAAAATGTAATATGGTATGACACAGTACGCAAAGGGATATGTATATATATTGGTCTGAGTTTTGTATTCTAGTTCACTTTTTGTTAGGGTAATTAACTGTATTCTCTTTCTATGTATTAAAACTTACACCAGATTTGACATTAATCTGGTGAAACTTCCAGTTTACAATTTGAACGAAAAATACATTACATATAGAACATGAGATTGAATGAACTTTCTGTTTTTAAATGTACTGTGTTTTTTGGTGATGATTTTTGAGACAGATTTTGAGCACTTGCTCAATTATCTTGTTGGGAAACTTTCTCATTTGTGCTGTTCAAGGATATTCACTGTGTGTTTCTTACGCATTTAATGGATGTATATTAAATGTTCAGGCAAACTGGCATATAGAGTGGCACTTTGATGTCTTGATACTTTGGACTTTGGCAAAGGCTGGAGAAATTTCTAAAGCAGAAGATCTTCTAAAGGGCTTAAAAAGCAGGTGGAAGTGTTATATTTTGCGTAAAGTAATTGAGATACAATGTTGCATGAGTTGTGATATATTCATGTTATCTTATTGTAGGTTTTTGAGGATGACTAAAAAGAAGCAACAAAGAATGAAGAGAGGAATGATGGTATGCTTCAGTAGCTGCTTCCATGAACACATAAAAATTTCTTTAGATAGCTGTCTAGTTCATAGCTTAAACTCTTTATTCTGTGGGGCAACGCAATAACACCATGCTTTTTTGTTACAGAAAACGAAATGTATCATTTAAGAAAGTTGATCTACTGTATGCATTATGCAGGGAGTTGAAAAAAATAGAGATAAACTATTTTTAGCCTAACAGTAGTTTGTCTTGTTCATACTTCAAACAGATTGCTTCCAAGCAATACATGACTGCTGTAAATATACAGCTGCATAGTTTTGTACTGCTGTTGTTGCTTTTAACAGTGTTCTCATTAACTAAATCTTTTCTATCTTAAATTGAAATCAGCTTGCAGAAGCACTTTATGCGTACGGAATGGGAGATGAGAAACATGGACTGGATTTACTTGATCCAGATTTTGATGCCACTGATTATAAGGTTCGACCGATAAGCCACTTTTATGTACTGTGGCCTCACCCTTGTTGATTTTGCAACCTAACAAAATATCAATTACGTTGTTGTGAAGGTCATTGGGGCATCTGATGAACAAGTGGACGTATTCAATGAAGTTTGGTACAACATGTTGCTGAATACTGGAAAAGCGTTGAAGGGTAAAATCTCGAGCTTTTTCTATGAAATTCAAACCCACGAATCTTCTTCTCTAACTATTATGATGAAATCCATCACAGCAATCGAAGTGCTGGAGAAGCAAATCAAGAAAAGAGATGGGGTCCCCTACTTGTGGCGTCTACTAGTACGTGCTGCTTTGTCTTTAACCATTGTAGTTATGGTTTTAGAGCATTTTAACCTTTGAGTTTGAATTACGATTTTTTTTTTCAGGAGAGGGGATACAAATTAGCTAACAAACCAGAAGAAAAAATTGCGAACGAGAAAGCCACGTCTTTGGAGAATCGTTACTTTAACTGAGGGAATAATCAGAACCGAATCGTGACAGGTTCTTGTGTATGTGTATGTATATTCACCATGCCAAAATACAATACTTCATTGGGTAAAATAGCATAAAAAATTAAGTGAAACATAATCCATAAAAGGCCTCCTTTTACCATAAATTCGTGTATGTCTGGACGTAAATTAAGAAACTCAAATACTGTACTTTTATTCTCAACACAAATTATCTTCTAAATTTTGATAGGATTCGTGAGAGTGTCTGCGAATGATTCGAAAACACACGATCGGAAGTTCTTAACTTTTACCAGAACATGACCTAAAAGATTTATGGCATTATGTGTTGGATGAGACTCCCGAGGTGGCGAATAAGCAACTTCGCATTGATTAAGGTTGTAGGAAAAAACAAAAGGTGGGCCTGGCCGGTGTTATGAAACCTCTAATTTCGAAACGCTGATCACGGAAAAGAAAGATGGTGCTGAGTAGTGATTTGTAAGTTGACATCGTCGTCAAAAAAGGTTCTTTGAAGACTTTTTAACCGAACTTCACCAATGTAGAACTTCCACGTCAAACCCGATGTTCCTCACCTTCGCTTTACTCCACCGTAGTAGTTGATTATCTCAAATGAAAGGAAAGCATAAAGAGAAGAGGAAGTTATTTGCTATAATTGAAGGAGTTGAAAAAATATAGTTTGCAAAAAAGTTATAAAAGAAATGGTATATTTACTGTGTGAGGTAGCACTAAGTGAGTGGTAGACGTTACATAGACACTATTGACTATTTAGCTGAATTTGGGTAAGTTCCCACAACCGTACCGGTACGGGATAACTGACATTTTCCACCCTTTGACGTTACTTAACCAAACAGAGAATAGAATAAAAATAAAAACCCTCGTGCGTTCAATTCCAACTATTAACCTCTTCATAATAACAAATTAACTTTCGAAAACAAAACTCATCATGGTTTGGGTGGGGTCAAGTCAACGTTGCCGTCCGACACAAGTGTAACTTCGCAGTCAAACTCCACATCTCCACACGGCCCCATAATAAAGAATCACTCTTTATTTCACTCCTTTGCCACCGCCGTCCGACTCCGCACCCGCCGCAACTCCTCCACCACCTCCCTTGAATCCGGCCGGTCGTCCTTATCCGCCGCCACGCAGCGGAATGCAAGTTCTGCGACGGCGGCGACTCCATCGCTGTCGCCGAGTTTAAAGACCGGATCCAGAACTTGGTGGAGCTGCCCCATCTGGATCCTGGAAACAACCAAATCCGCAAGCGCCATTTCGCGCTTGTCTCTGTTCTGGTCCACCGCTTTCTTTCCCGAGATAAGCTCCAATAACACAACTCCGAAACTGTAGACGTCGCTCTTCTCGGTCAACCGGAATGAGCGGTGGTAATCTGGGTCCAGATAGCCCGGTGTTCCTTGAGGCCCGGTCCAAACAAACCCGTTCGAAGAAGACGTCGTGTCCTGCACCACCAGAAGCCGCGACAACCCGAAATCTCCCACCTTGATCCTCATATCCCTCTCCACGAAAATATTCGACGACGTGATGTCTCTGTGTACGACCGGTGGAACCACCGAGAAATGAAGATACTCCATCACTAACGCCGTCTGTAGCGCGATGTCGAGCCTCACCTGCCACGTCAGAGATCCTTTGCGGTGGTGCAAATGCTCCGCCAGGGTTCCGTTGGGGATGTAATCGTAGACCAGGAGCAGCCCCCTCGGGTCGCTGCAGTAACCGTGGAGCTTCACCAGGTTCGCGTGGTGGATCGAGGAGAGGATGAGGATCTCGTTACAGAAGGACTTGGTAGAGAACGCGGCGGAGGAGTGGTTGCGGTGGAGGTACTTAACCGCCGCAAGGCGACCGTCGCGGAGCTGCGCGAGGTATACGGACCCAAACCCGCCATCCCCGATTTTCCACTTGGGGTCGAAGTTGTGGGTAGCGGCAGCGAGGTCGTCGTAGGTGAAGACCGGGGGCAGGAGACTGGCGGAGCGGTGGTGGTGGAGGAAGAGTGTGGTGGGGTCTTGCTGCGTAGCGGCGGAGGAGGCCTTTGATCTGGCCGAGCGGAGGATGGCGGTGGCTACTGAGATAAGGAGAAGCAGGGAGGTGATGGCAATGACGGTGCTGAAAAAGGCCATTTTGTTCGGTTTGAATTTGCGAATCCATGGTGGGGTGAGTGTGGATTGGGAGCGGTAGCGGAAGCAGAGGAATGGTTTGTTCTGGGAGGAGGAGTTGAACCCGCAGGTGCCGTTGTTGGCGCGGCAGACGGTGCAGTTAGTGAAGTACGGGTCACGGCTTTGGTCCCAGTCGAGTTGGATTCCTTTGTTGAGGAACTGCTGGAGGAAGCCGAGGATGTCGGTGAGGCAGGGGGAGTCTGAGTACTGAGGGGAGTGGTGGGTGGATCTGCAGTCAGGGAAGAGGTGGGAGGGAGTTTTGATGAGGTGGCATTGGGAGGGGCAGTGGGAGCAGTTGGGGAGGGAAGGCGGCGAGCAGGGGCGGAGGAAGGAGAGGCGAGAGCAGGTGGCAGCTGAGACACGAAAAGGGGTGGCGGAGAGGTTGATGGAGCGGGTAGGAATGGAGGGGAAGGAGGGGCAGTTAGGGTGAGGCGTTGGGTGAGGGTGAGGTAAGAGAGTTATGGAGGAGGTGTTGGAGTTGTAGGAAAGTATGGAGAAGGAGAGGTTGTTGATGGAGATGAAAGAATGGGGGCTGGAGCAGGTTATGTGGAAGGATGGGTGGCCACAGCCTGGTGTGGAGGAGAAAGGGAAAGGTGGGTGAGAGGTGAAGGGAGGGCAGAGATTATTAGGGTTTGTGTTTGTGTTATTGGAAGAGCAAGTTTGAGTGTTGCAGGGTGTGAAGATGGAGAGGAAGAGGAAAATGACGAAGAGGGAGGAAGACATGGAGGAGAAGAAGATAGAATCATGGATGGAAGGGATCTGTTTTAACCGATATGGGATCTGGACTTGGAAGAAAGAAGTGGGGTTACAGCAACCATTACAACTACTCCTAGGTTCTATTCTATGTTGTTGGACTTGGAGAGAGAAGGTTGAAAGAGGGTCACGTGCAGCAGTGGGATAAAAGACAAATGCTCTCTTCTCAAAATAGTCTATAAGTAATCACCTTTTAAGTAATTATGTTTTTTATTCCAAGTTTCAGATGTTTATGTCTGAAATTACTTTCATAAATGAAACATAAACTTTATTTGGATTAAGAGATTTGCAAAACTGACCTCAATTTTTCATTAATTGTGTTTTGGCTCCAATTGATTCAAACAAAAATAATTCTGGAAAGATGGAAGTGTTGCGCGCCACTTCCGCTTGGTGGGGCCTTCCTGCTGACTGCCGGAATTCATCTCTCCTTTTCTGACTTCCATTTTCACTCTTCCAAGCAACTTCTTTTTTTAATTTATAAAAAAAAATACAAACAACTTACCTATTTTCAGTGGTTACCTCCACAAGTATTTTAAAATTTAGCATCACTTAAATGCACCTTACCGTTGAACGACTGAAAAATATTTTAAAACATTATGATACTTTACAAATATATTAATTGTGTGGTACATATTACATACTATATAAATAAATATAGTACTTGGGGAAATATAAAATTACAGAAAATATATATATTTATAATAATTTTGTACTTTTAGCCAAGTCAAATATAATCAAGGAATGTACCCTTTTTATAGTCACACCTATGGTTTTCAAATTAAAAATAAAAAATAACGTTTAAATGTAAGTCATCGAAACGTCAATCTTTATTAGAGATTATATATGAAAAGTGAAAAAATAAAGAAAGGAAAAAAAAACAACAAAAGTAAATTTATATTAATTAAAAATATAAAAATTAAGTATAAATGAATAAAAAGGGAAATTAATGAAAATTTGTAAATAATTTTATTAATATAATCAAATAAAAAAATGTGTTAATTTGATTATGTATAAATTAATCAAATTATCTTCCTATTAAAAAATTATGTGTGGTTAAATTTAATATTTTAACATATAAGTTTGTCATGTTACAAGTCAAGTTTAAATAAATTAAATAGAATTCTATTGTGAAATATGAGTAAATTAAAATAAGCTGCTCTGTAAAGTATCATTATTTAAATTAATTAAATTCATGCTTAATAAATTGATGTATTATCTTAAATAATAAACCTAAATTCCTATAGCAGTCACCTGCATAAAAGTAATTACATGTGGGAAGGAAAAAATTAATGCATATTATCAATTATAAATAAATAAAATAAGTAAGAATTCGAATCATGTTTAGAAAAAATCAGAGTACATTAAAATCATCCCAGAAAAAAAAACAGAAAGAAGATAATATATAAATATAACTCAAACTAGTTCAAATTAAAAAAATAATTGAAAATAAAATAAATAAATGTTTATTCAAGTCATATTCGAAATTCTTTAAATATTTGTTTAAAAGAATAGTGGATTATTTTATATCATTTTAATTTTGATTAAGCATGTTACACTTCTTCAAGACATATTTGAAAAAATCAAACACTTATTTAAATAAGTGTTAGATTGCTCTTAATGTTGACCTTTTCAAACATATCTCTTAAAAGTGTGGGTGTTACGATAATTTCAGTTATAATATTATATTATTCTTAATTTGGTTGACTTCGAATATAAAACTTTAGTGTTGAAATACATAGATCATGAAATAATCTTAGAACGGTATTGTACAATACTTATTTTTTTGACATTTCACATATTTTGAGTTTGACAAGAAAAAACTAATCTTATAATTTTTCCTTACTTTTTCACAAATAAGAGGAAACATCCATAATGATAAGTTCATTTTACACTTCAAGTGTAAGTTTACTCGAAAATTATGAGAATGAGAATCTTTCAAATAAATTACGGGCCATATGTAGGTCGTGTGTCAACCACATGATTTCTCTAATGAAATTGTGTCCATGGTTGATTAATTTAGGTTTGGATTATGAAAAGTACAAGTCATGTTATATGAGTATGGTTTTAGCATGTAAGGAAAACTATTGAAGTCATGTGCATGCATAACGACTTCCATTTAAAAATTGTAAAATTAGAAATCATGTACCAAAGACATGACTTCTTTAAAAACACGTAATGACGAAGTTGTGCTTTAGCCTAACGACTTTCAATCGAAATTTATAAATTTGAAATTGTGCAAGTATAAGGAAATTCTCTTACTTTATCCATGTGCTTCAAGTAATTTTCTATT